GGGGGGCCTAGGTACGTACGTGTGCTCCATTGGTTGAGTCCCGAATGGAGCGGAGCACACATGTGGTACAACAAATGAGATTCCTGTTAAGTAACAGTCACATGTGTGAAAAAAAAAAAAAAAAAAAAAAAAAACCAGTCACATGTGTGTACCAATGGAGGGAGGAGGAGGGCGAAGGACGGAGGGGGGCGACAATTGATATGTCGAGCGTCTTTTCTCTTTTTTGGGGAAGTGAAGTTGGTTCACATTGCGGGCGCTTCTCGATGTCTCTACATGCGTGTGTAATGCTTGTGCGGGGGTCAAGCAAGAACTACAATGATGACGATCGATGACAGAGAATGAAGCGAGAACGAAGCGAGAATAAAGCGAGAAGAGGAAGGAGGACGACGGTGATGATTGAGGAAAGAGGCGGGGACGGCGAGGATAGATGAGGAGGAGTGGCAATGGAGGGAGGAGGGAGGAGGGAGGAGGAAGAGGAGGGAGAAAGGAGGGAGGCGGGTGGCAACAATAGAGGGAGAAGAGGGCGGGCCACTTTGGTAGAATGAAGACAATGGAAGAGAGAGAATGGAGGCAGAAGAGGACGGAGGACGACGGTCATGATGGAGGAGAGAGGAAGGGAGGACACGGACGCATCGGGAAGGAGGGAGAATGGAGGGAGGAGGAGGGAGAAGGAGGGAGAAGGAGGGAGAAGGAGGGAGGAGAGCAACTACGATGAAGGGAGGATAGAGCATGCGTTTTGCTGTGTCGAAATTTTGAGCGTCTTATTGCATTATTCAATCACCGGGTTGTTCTCCTACACATATGCGCTGCTCCATGCATCAAAAGAGGAATCGATAGGCCCATTCATGACCACGCTGTCCAATCGTTCAAGTTCAGGAACGAGTCTTCCATCAATCGATCAATCAATCAATCAATGGATGTCAATCAATCAATGGATGTTTGATCGATTGTTTGCCAGTTAATGGTCGTCTTGCTTTGTACCTAGGCTACCAGCCAGGCCACCCCGGTGACCTTGTTTGCCCGGGCGGCCCGGCCGTGCAAGGGCCTAAGTAGGTCCCAGCAAAAAACAAAACCAAAAAAAAAAGAAAATCGAAAAACTCTGAAAAGCAAGCCTAAGTACATCCCAGCAAAAAACAAAACAAAAAAAAAAGAAAATCGAAAACTCTGAAAAGAAACTATGTTATGCAGAAAAATAAACTGAACAACTTTTGCCCCAGGGGTCTGGTCCCACCTGCGGCCGTTGAGTTTAGATTCCTCAACGGTGTGACACCCCGAAAGCATTTAATAAATCTGAAAAATGCATTTCAGGCGTTTTCCGTGAATCTTACCCCGATTCATTACCACGTTGAATCTTACCCCGATTCAGCACCACGTGCAACGCGATGTTATTATATGGGTCTCGCTCCCAAAAAAATAGGAAACATACATCGACAAAGTGACTGACAGGCATGGCAGTTACATTTTTTTTTTCCCTCCCAAAGCGACTGACACACTCCCCGACAAACGTGGAACGGCGCGCGGCGAAAAAAGTACCCGAAATGCTAAATCATACATTCAGCACGTTGAGATATCTACCCTCAACCGTGGAGGGTAGCTTTCTCAACTCCGTGGCGGTTGCCCATGCGGCCTTTCGTCCACTGCGGGACTCGGTACGAAGTCCTTGTACAATTTTAAAAAACCATGAAATCATCCTAACGAATATCCCCCTTCGCAAAAAATTCAGACCATCGGATCTCAGCCCTGTAGACGGCCACGTCCTGTCGAACGTTGTCACTCGTCGTCGAAAACCTGACGCTGAGTTAACTCAACAACGCAGGTGGGACTAGACCCCAGTGTCACATCGAAATTCTTTAGCAATTTTTTTTAAAATCAAGTTAAAAAATACATTTTTTAATTTTCAATTTTTATTTTTTTTGGGCCCGGCCGGGCAAGTGGTCCCGCGGGACACTCTGGTAGCCCAGCTTTGTACATGATTTTGCTATCAACCGCTGAATTGTTTCATTCACATCCCGCTTTTTTTTTTCTATTTTTTTTTTTTTAAATCATCTCGCTTATTGCGGGACTATGCCTTGGCCATCTTTTTTTTTTTTCCCCTAAAGAAAACCAACTTTTATTAGGGTCAGATCCCACTACCCTGGATTATTCATTTTTAAGTTTTAACCCTCGATTACGAAGATCAACGGTCAGAAATGAACAATCGGGCCTGATGGGATCTGGCCCTTATTTAGGGCCTCGCCACACCACTCTCGAAACGGGGAAATTTTTCAAGAGCTGTCAGACGTTCTCAAGAGTTGGGTTTTCGAGAGTTTCGGGCCCCTCCCCGCACAGCACTCTCGAAAGGGCGATGGTGTTGGACAAAGAATGCAAAACGACAGTCGTACAGCTTTGTTTTTTCCGAATGGCCTCAGGATAACGGCCTGACAGCTCTCGAAAATCGAGAGTCCTTCAAGCGGTGCTGCAGGCTGGGCGTTTAGGAGTTTCAAGAGCTACTCTCGAAACGAGGTTCTGACAACTCTCGAAAGAGTTTTCGGGCCACAACTCTCAAGTGGCTGTGTGGCGACTGCTCCAACTCTTGAAAACCGGGTTTCAAGAGTGGTGTGGCGAGGCCCTTATACAAGCGAGGAAGCGGGCCTGGCGTCCCTTCGCAAATTTTATGCAGATCCTCCTGGAAGAGAGGGATTATTTATACAAGCGAGGAAGCGGGCCTGGCGTCCCTCACAAATTTTATGCAGATCCTCCTGAAAGCGAGGGATCATTTATACAAGCGAGGAAGCGGGCCTGGCGTCCCTCACAAATTTTATGCAGATCCTCCTGAAAGCGAGGGTGCGGTTGCCTGGGAGAACTTGCGTACGAGCCCTTGAATTGACGTGTGCAAGGGAGACGTCCTTAATCCCACTTGCTTGCCTTATCAACGGCGGCCGTTGGAGTTGGGCCTCGCTTCACCAATCACCACGTGCACGTTGGTGGAGCGAGGCCCATTGCCAAAACCAGCTTTTTTTTCGGAAAGTGGGGCTCGGCCGAGTGAAGTGGAGCGAGGCCCGTAGATTGCCCCAACTCTGGGTGCCGGCCAGCCGGTTCGCCTCTTCACCTCCACCGACCAGCGACCCCACCGACAGGACATTGTTTTATTTCCTACTGGTGGAGGCGAACCGAGCTGCTGCACCCCAGAATGGGAGGGGACCTCCGATTACCGATGCTGGGTAATGGTCCCAGCCTGCGTCAGTTGCTTTGTCCGGGTTGTTTGTGAGGAATTCCCGGCCTCATGTTCGTTTCATGATAATGGATTCCTTGCTTTTTCCCAAAAAAAAAAAAAAAAAAGAATGGGAGGGGACCACCGATTACCCGGACCACCAAAGGTGGTGGCCGCCGAAGTGGCCGCCGACGTGGCCAAGAGTCTAATCACAAGGCACCGCGTCGTCAACTCTCGATGGACTTTTTTCTCTTTTTTTTTTTCCAATTTTCGATTTATCTTCGATGACAGTTCGTTACTGTAGTCGCCTACTTGTTGGTTGTTGATTACCATAACATCTTTTTTTCTTTTTTCTGTTTTTATACCATACCATCCTTGTCTGATTTGTTGCTCCGACGGGATTGTTCTTAAGTGAAGGATGGGCTCGCTCGTTGGAACCTCCATCCCATCGCTGTCGTTGTCGTCAGTTCCCGCTATGGGAAGCGTATCAGCAGCTGGGACCGCTGGGACCAACTCCCGCTTGGGTTCAATAGCTGGGACCACTGGGATTGCTGGGACCACCATCTTCCGCTTGAGTTCCTCGCCAGGTGCCACGTGTCTGTTGGCGAGGAAAAGCGGAACTACCGGTAGTTGGGCATGGCCGAGGGGCATGAGGAGGACAAATGCCAAAGTGCTCGTCGATGACAAGCCTGGTCGGAGCAGCCGCTGGCTCGTGACACGTGGCCATCCTTCTTGCATGTCCTTGACCTGTGATTGGATGGAAGGGAGCCTAGGCTCTCAGCATGCTGCAGACCAAGATTGGGTGCCTGCCTGCCGCAGTAGGCCGGCGGGAAAGACGGTCCCAGATGGCCATGCCCGGCAGCGGCGTCGCTTGGCTAAGTTCAATGTCAAGCTACAGCCTCATACTTATCCTTATCTCTGCCCTGGCAGTGGCACGTCTCCTCAGGGACGACGAAAAGCGAGCGGCGCGGCTGCAAGAGCGGCCATGGAAATAGTTACTCCAGCATCGGACAAAGAGCTAGGATCTCTCGCTGGTCTTGAAGGAGGGGAAGGAGGAGAGGGAGGAGGAGGAGGAGGAGGAGGAGGAGGAGGAGGAGACGGGAGTGTGTCGCCGGAGCTGGCGGAGATTTACAGCAACGCCTCCACTTGGCATTGGCGCGGAGAGACCATCAACTACGTGGCAACTGGTGGTGGGGGACCACCAATTCTCCTTATCCACGGATTTGGAGCATCCATCGGCCATTATCGCAAAAACATCCCGGTTCTCTCTCGCAATCATCGAGTGTACGCCGTTGATCTTCTGGGATTTGGCGCATCTGCCAAGCCGTCAAATGTCCAGTACAGCATAGAGTTATGGTCTGAGCTTATCTTGGACTTCATCTCCGAGGTGGTCTGTGAGCCGTCGATCTTGATAGGCAACTCAATCGGCAGTTTGTCCGTTCTCCTCGCCGGCGCCACTGCGCCCCGAGGATCTGTGCGTGGCGTCGTCCTTCTTAACTGCGCTGGTGGGATGAACAACAAAGCCATATCTGATGACTGGCGGATCAAGCTCTTCCTGCCGCTTTTTCTATTAATAGACTTCCTTCTCAGACTCCCCATCGTGGCCAACTTCATTTTTAACCGAGTGAAGACCAGATCGAACGTCAAAGCTGTGCTTCAATCGGTGTACTGCAACCGGGAGGCAGTCGACGACGAGCTTGTGGAGGTAATCATGCGGCCGGCGGACGACAAAGGAGCGCTGAACGTCTTCGTGGAGGTGATCACAGGCCCGCCGGGACCTCGACCTGAGACCCTCATTCCCAAACTTCAAGCCCCCCTTCTCCTCTTATGGGGGGATCGAGACCCCTTTACACCCCTTGATGGCCCAGTGGGCAGGTATTTCTCCCAGCTCCCTCAAACGTCATCTAAAGATGACGTGAAATTCGTAGTCCTGCCGAACGTCGGCCACTGCCCGCACGATGACGACCCTGATACCGTGCACAAGTACCTTCTGCCTTGGCTGGCTGAGCTCAGCAACGACACCTAGGGGGTGTTGCATAACATGACATGCATAAGACAAGAAATGTGGCTGCGTACACTCACACACACACTGCGGAACCACCTTTCGGCCTTCTACCTCCATCTGGCTCTAATTGCGGCCAAGTGCATCTAGTGATCTCCCATTGTGAGTAGACGGCTTTCCTTTTTCTGTTGTTGTTCTTTTTTTAAAAGGATCAGAAATTAAACTCATGATCAGAACACAGAAACCACACTTGATCTATTTTTAGCCAAAAGGCCGACAAAGGTAGAAGTAGAAGTAGAAGTAGAAGTAGAAGTAGCAGGCCTTAGACACACCAGCCTCTGTGAAAGCCGACCAGAGCTGGACAGTCACGCACCCTTCTGTGTGTGTGTGTGTGTGTGTGTGTGTGTGTGTGTGTGTGTGTGTGTGTGTGTGTGTGTGTGTGTGTCTGTGTGTTTGTGTGTGTGTTTCCCTCTTTTTTCCTCCAGTATTGTTATTTATTGTCACTTCCTCCCTACGTGAGGATTGGGTAATTTAATGTAATGTATGCCTCTACTGCCTTCCTTGGATGCAGTAGCCATCTCTCAGGCTGGGCTCGCCGGAGTCCATATGAACCCACGAAAAAAAAAAAAAAAAAAAGTCAGTGACTGACTGATACAAAAAAGACACATATAAATAAGATCAACAACAAATGATCTTGAATTACAAAAGCAAAAAAAAGGAATCGATGTGTAGACTGGTAGCCGGATAGTTGGCTAATCTAGTGGTTAATTGATTGATTAATTGATTGAATGATTGATTGATTGATTGATTGATTGATTGATTGATCAAAGGATCGATTGGCTGATTGAAGGAAACGGTGATCGAGCCAGACAATTAGACAGACGAATGATCGATAAATTGGTAGATAGAAAGGTCACGTTGTTATTGGTTAATTCAACTTAATTGATGGATTGACTGATTAATCATATCAGGAGAGAGGAGGTCGACAAGGTGCTAACAAGCCGGGAGAGACATAGGGAAGGATTTAGTCGAAGCGTGCATGCATCTGTGCGCGCGGGCGCAAGCGTGTGTGTGTGTGTGTGTGTGTGTGTGTGTGTGTGTGTGTGTGTGTGTGTGTGTGTGTGTGTG